ACTGTCCGCTGACCTGAGATGGAACAAATACATTGAGTCAATAGCTTCGTCCACCGCAAGGAAAGTTGGCTTCCTGTGCCGCGCCAGGAAATTTTTCTCGCCGGAGTAGATCCTTCAAATCTACAAATAAACCATTCACCCTTGCATGGAGAATTGCTGCCATATATGGTCTAGAGCATCTTCTGTTTGTCTCAAGGTTTTTGATAAAATTTAGAGACTGATATGCAATGTAATTGGCCCTGATTTGGCATCTCGTCTGCAGTCGCTCTCTCACAGACGTGCCATCGCCTCCCTCTGTCTTTTTTACAAATACTTTCACGGTAACTGCTCCGAAGAGAGGCTTTCGCTGGTTCCCAGACTTCATGAATTTAAGCGTTCAACTAGGCTGGCATCTCACTCTCACCCTTTCACTGCCGAAACTATTAAATGTAGCCGTCTCTTCTACTCCAATAGCTTGATGTCTCGCACTTCTATGAAACTCCCTCCCCTTTTCCTGTTTCCCTGAGAGCTATAATCTCCAACTATTGAAATGTAATGTCAATCGACGTCTCCAGATGCCTTGATCTATCCCCTATCCTTCTCTTCATCTTTTCCTCTATCACTCCTCTTTGTCCCAACTCTCTGTAACCCCTTGCGTGCTAGTGGCTTCCCCTATTGCTTGGGGTGAAACGTTTAAAAAAATAACTTGAAGTTTGATCATAAATGTGATTGAGAAGATTTGGGTTAAGTGCATTGATAAAGAACATATTATGTTGATTTTATAACATATCATCTTTTTGGGGGTATTTAATATCGAATTTTTTATATAGTGTTTATGTCAAGTCACTTCGCAAGTGCCACTGGCATCGTATAACGTATAACATATCTATCGCAGAATATAAATAGTTATACAGAAACACAGTTGTGTGCCATGCGTGACACACGCTTAGGCGATCATGTGTCTTTCGATACATGACTGACGAGGCAGATTTTTTCCCACAGTAGGTTGCTATTTCTTTCTTCTGCGGTAGACCAGTTGCCACCCAAGGCTATAGAACCCGGTCTTTCTTGCTATTTACCCATAGCTGGCTGGAGAAAAAGAAGATTGATACCTTTCTCAAGGGTATTAGCACGTAAGTGAATCTAATGGATTCGACTGGAATTCGAACGCGGCATATATACAAGGAATCAGTCAGTTATGTGACATGCGTGATACACACTTAGGCGATCATGTATCTTTCGATACATGACTAACGAGGCAGATTTTTCCCTCATTAGGTAGCCATTTCTTTCTGCAGTAGACCAGTTGCCATCCAAGGCTATAGAACCCGGTCTGTCCTGCTATTTACCCATAGCTGGGAAGGTGAAGAAGAAGATTGATACCTTTCCCAAGGTTATTAGCACGGAATTGAATGCAATGGATTCGACTGGAATTCGAACTTGGCATATATACAAGGAATCAGTCAGTTATGTGCCATGCGTGATACACCTTTAGGTGATCCTGTATCGAACCGACTGACGAGGCAGATTTAGCAACCGACTCCGGGAAAAAATCTGCATCGTTAGTCATGTATCGAAAGACACATGATCGCCTAAGCGTGTATCACGTAAAGAGGAAAATGAGTTTATGACCAATATTCCTACCGTTTTTGTAGAAGTTCCCATTCCTGATATTCACCTATGAACAAACGCGACTGCAGCTTCCGTTTTCTGTGTATATATTAACGAAAAGGTTGGCAATTTCCAGTTTCAAATCAAGAATGTAAGAAAGTCAATCGTCATATGTGTATTACGTATTGAATTTATCAGGAGTAAGATTCATTTCTGAAAATACATATCTATCTATGTAAGCCGATTCTTATGTAGTGACTTTCCAAGCGTAGCTTAGATGAGGCACAAGGAAGAAAGTATGGGGCATCTAGTGAGAATCGAAGTCAATACTCGTTACTATTATAGATATACAGTCCTGAAATTTATCTAATTGTAAATGATATCTATAGATTTCATTTTGCTGAAAGTCCATGTCAAATGTTGCATTTCGGAGTTTGTATCCATTGTAAGCATTAGAAAGCATCTGTTTTAGTCATTTTTAATCTTTTTTTTTTCAATCTTTCACAGCTTATCATGGATTTGACATATCGGCATTGAATCCGGGTGATGCTGAGGAAAATGCTGTTACATTTCTCTCAGCTTATCCAGTTGACTGGTAGCTGTCAAAATTGACAAAAAGGTCAAAAGCAAGTTTGGCTTGCGAAAGTTGTCATTCATTCACTGGATACTTAAACATGGCTTACCTGGTGTCGGGATTTCAAGTTCGACTGTCTGGAGAAAGGGAAGGTAAAAAAAAAACTATAATGGCAGTTATTAACATTTAAAGCGAAACTCAGCGAAGGCAGAAGTAACGAAATGATAACGAATTCTTGTTGTTGGCGTAATCACACTGTGGTAATCATTTGTGTAAAATATTGCAACAGAAAACACTTTATGTTACTTACAATTAATTCTCCTTGTAGAAGTAACGTTGGAAAAAAAGAGTTAAGACTCTTATTAATAGTTTTGGTAACACGCCCAGTCAGAGTCTATATTTCTGAGATGAGGTATTATGTACATTATTTACATTATTCGGACTATTGTCCTCATCTTTGTCGCCATATTTATCACAACGTTTCGGCCGTTGTACGCTCCGGCCTTCTTCAGTTGGTTGGAATGTCGAACTGAACCCTTTATTTCGCTCACTGCCACGTGCCATGTTTGATGGATGTCAGCTATCAGTTATCTCCTGTTAATTTTTCCCTCTGAAAGTTCTCCACTGCCTTAACCGGGTATTGAACTCACACTCTTTGGGTCCTGTCACTGGATCTAACCAACGCCTTTGTCCACTGTGCCATGTGTCCTCAAGGACACATGGCACAGTGGATAATAGTGAGCGAAATAAAGGGCTCAGTTCGACATTCCAACCACCTGAAGAAGGCCGGAGTGTACAACCGCCGAAACGTTGTGATCAATATGGCGACAAAGATGAGGACAATAGTCCGAATAATGTAAATAACGCCCAGTCAGCTTCGAAAAAAACGAACGGTCTTAAGAAGGAAGAAATGACTTTGACTTTGGCTATTTTGCATTATATAAGTGGAGGTACCTAGAAAACTTTTATTAACAGTTTCGGTAAAAACGTCAAGTCATCTTCGAAAAATGGAGACTGTCGCAACAGAAGGAAGAAGAAAATACTGCTACTAATTTTGGTCAACTATGTCTTGCTTTTTTAATATCTCTCTTCGAACACATATGCAAAATTTGAGTCCTCTTCAATCAGATCGAAAACGAAATTATATTTTCATCGCAAGTTGAATTCTCGCCTTCCACTGAGCTTCGCTAACATAAGTGCACAAAATTTCTACATTACTTACTCTTCAAGACGTAGGGGATAATGGCTCTCCGCAACTTCCTGTCTTCGTATAACTTAGTAAAGTCCGCCCTTTCGTTAACACCCCTAATCCCTGTCCTGCCAATTGGTACGTTGGTACTCCTTTCTCGGCCCGTTGCCTCCTGTTTGTCCTGCGAATGAAAAATTCTCAAAAAACTCTTTACTCATTATGAATTGTCTTCAATTTCAATTGACTCTTTTTGATTTTAAATAGAAGTATCCTTTTTGGTTCCATTTTCGTTAAAACTTCCTCGTTACTCACATAATCACTCCATGGCATTCTTCGATAGAAACACATCTTTATTACTTCAAGTCTCTTCTTAATCTATGAGGAGATTGCTAAACATTCACTGGCACATCTATTACATAGCAGTATGGCACTCTTATTGGTTTCAAAAGACACACACACACACACACACACACACACACACACACACACACACACACATATATATATATATATATATATATCGAGTTTAATGAGATATTTTACTTCAAAAGTGGTCATATTTCTATCTACTAGTATCTAATTCATCTGTCTTTTTAGCTACCCAGGCCCTTCAAATATTTTTATCGCTTTCAGTCTATCTATCTATCTATCTATCTATCTATCTATCTATCTTAAGACATTTTTTATGTTTATACGTTCTTTTTATAGATACAGATATTTAAGTAAACGCTCTGTTTATAATATTTACTTAAATATTTGTATCTATAAAAAGAACGTATAAACATAAAAAATGTCTTAAACTAATTGTCGAACTTTGTCCATTTCATAATGTGTGACTATCTATCTATCTATCTATCTATCTATCTATCATTATCTGGAGCAATATATAATAACTCTTTCGACTTTAAATGTAAATGAAGACTTTCTTTCCGAATGTGAAAGTCTAAACTGGCCCAAGCAATTTTGCCTCGTGCAGTTCACGTGCTTGTTTGGTTCATTATGAAAGGCCGTAAGCTGATAAAGCCCAACTGACCCTTGGCAACTCTGAAACCGCGACCAGCAAGAAAGGGGTCCAGATGGCAGCGTCTCTAATCCTATTTAGTCAGGAAACCCTCCGAACAATTTCATTTAGCCGATAAGAACCGACGCAGAAGAAAGTGAAAGTGAAAGTGAAAGTGAAAGATTCCGGTGAGAGATAGGGTCTAATTTGTCGGGAGACATGTAATGACATGAATAAGAGAGCGGGAAAAGGGGTATTTACTTTGAGAGAGAGAGAGAGAGAGAGAGAGAGAGAGAGAGAGAGAAAAGAGAGAGATAGAAAATGAGAGAAATTAGGAATAGTGAAAGGGAGGAAATATGGAGAGCAACAGAGAGAGAGAGAGAGAGAGAGGTTAGGGGGAGAGATATTTCGGGTTAGTAATGGTAGGATTGGAAACAGGTTTATAAGCAAGTAAGAAAAGAGTCAAGACTATACAAAGAAGCAGACGAGAAAAAAAACCAAAAAAAACATTGAGAGTGACAGAGGTGAAAAGAATAAAATCGATAAGTGGTCAAAAGGTTTCAAAAAGATCACTCCCGATATATCCAAAAATGCGTACATGCTCTTGTGAAAAGTGAGATGAGTATGAACTGAATTCATTTAGTAGACTAAGATAGACTGATAGCTAGAAAGTTAGGAACAGGTGGAGAAGGAAGTAAATCGATAGATGGGGAGATATGAAGAAATTGGGATAGATAGATAGATAACGAAGAGACAAGGATAGATAGATAGATAGATAGATAACGAAGAGACAAGGATAGATAGATAGATAGATAGATAGATAGATAGATAACGAAGAGACAAGGATAGCTAGATGACAGACATATAAGTAGACATCAACATATAAGACAGATATGAACAGACCGTTATATATATATATATATAAGATCGTTATTGATACAATGATAAACAGATTATGAATAATAAGTAGATTTGTAAATAGTGATTTCGAAATACACACACACACACACACACACACACACACACACATATATATATATATATATATATATATATATATATATCATAAATTTACTAATTTAAAAATATGGTCCCATCGCTGCACAGGAATTACCATGTTTCAAAAACAGAAACTAAAAACTTTAAATTTACTTATAGGATTAAATTAAAATCCTTAGTATATTTTCAAGCAATGTTTGGAATAACTTATTTTGAAATTTACTGAGTTTATAAGCACATACATTCTTGATATTAGTTGCTAAGGTTACAGGAAATGCAGTCATTTTGTTAAGGGATGGTAGGGTATTTATTTTCACTTACAGCCTGTGTATTAAAATATGAGTTACTGTAGGGTAGGGTGCCTGTTCAAATGATTATTTTAATATATATATATATATATATATATATATATATATATATATATATATATATGTGTGTGTGTGTGTGTGTGTGTGTATCTCTTAAATAATTTAGACGAGCTTTGTCTACTTATTTTCAATATGATACTCTCATATTCACGGATAAGCTTCCTAATATCCTTATTAAAGGAAAAAGGAAAATTACCATGTTTATATATGTTCATTTATTCCGAGTACTTTCGACATTAGCACAATGTCATCATCAGGGTGTTGTTTCTTATAATAAAAACTTGTGTTCATCTGAAATTTAACTTTTTTTTTAACTCAACGGATGCGGCACATAGGTGAAGAATGTGAGTAAATGCTAATTTTACTAGATTTATCTCTTATATAGTGATGATGATGGGTGGCAGTGTTTTTGTTATGGCACCTGGAAGAATTGTTCCAAGATGGCGGAGAAAACATATAGTAAAATAAGGGCGTAGAAAGCGAAAAAAATGGATAGAGGAATTAATATACTCGTTATGTTTTGCATATCTCGTAGTAGCAGTCGTAGTACAGTTCTAAGTGTTCTGAATGGCAAACAGGTTTGATAGGGATAGCCACCCTATGTTCACCAGTTGTTCTCTATTTGTACTTGTCTATCTAATTTGCATGCGATACTGAAAGCAAAAACGAAAGAGATAAATAGGAAAGAGATATTAAACTACGAAGAAAAAAAGTAAAGGGATAAAAGATTAAACGAAAAAAGGAAGCGAGTGTAAATTAAAAAAAAAAAGAAAGAAACGGAGAGAGAGAAGCAAAAAGAAAAGGTTAAATTAATCGAGAACAAATAATGGAAGAAAAAGAAAAAAAAAAGAAAGAAAAAAAATAAATTTAAAAAAAGAAAGAAAACGAACAGAAAAGTAAAGAAAAAATAAAGAAAGAAAGAAAAAAGAAAATATTAAACCAAGAAAGATCAAATAGTAAAGAAAAAAAAAGAGAGAAAAAAGAAAATATTAAACAAAGAAATTGAACGCATATATACTGGGAAAAGTAGGAAAGAAAGAAAGAAAGAAAGAAAGAGAAGAAGGAAAGAAAGAGAAGAAAGAAAGAAATAGCTTATTAAAAGAAAGAAAATCTATACAAGATTATCAAAAGAAAGAAAGAATGAAAATGAAAATAAGAAAGAAAGAAACTTATCGAAAGGAAGAAAGTAAACTCAAGTAAGAGAAGCAAAATGAAGAAACAGGTTGAAATAATAATAAAAAAATAAAAATAAAAAGGGGAGAAAACAAAAAAAAAACCCGAAAATATTAAAATACGAAATTCTAACAGCAATATTAGGAGAGGGAAATAAGACAGGAAAAAAAAGATAGAAAGAAAATAGGAACACATGAGATTTAAACTATGAAATTAAGCGAACGAAAAAAGAGAAAAAAATATAGAAATAAAGAAAGAAGAGAAGAAATAAAAAGAGAGACAACAGGAAAGAAAGACAGGAAAAAGAAAAAGAAGGAAAGAAAAAAAAGATTAAAAAAAACAACAAAGGGAACGAAAGACAACAACAAAAAAAAAGGAGGAGGAAAAGATTAAATTAAAAGTAAAAGAAAAAATAACGAGAAAAATAAGAAAATCACAGATGAAAGGAAAATTGAAAGCAAGAGATAAAAACCGTGGCAGGAGCGATAAATTTAACAGTTGAAGGAAATAGAAAAAATATGGTGACAGGAAGGAGAATAAGAACAAGAAAGGAAATAAGAAAATTTCGTTCTGTCATAAAAGTTAATGACCATTGTGTCGAAGAACAGATTCCCGCACGAGAATCGGCTAGTTTCGTCCTCGTTGGGTTATCGCTTGAGAATACCAGGGGTTGTAAGTTTGAATGTGCAGGTGGTGTAATGGATAATGACTCGTCGCTGTTAATCGGAGAGCCGAGTTCGAATTTCAGTTGGGTTCGATATTTACTTATTACTTACGCGCAAATACCATTAGGAAAGGTATAAATCCACGACTTCTCCCCTAACTATGGGTTAATTAGTAAAATTTGCATCCCTAAAGCATTATTATGTGCAAATAAAATTCAATTTAAACATATCTTACAATCTAAACATATATTTTCTGGTTTTAATAACCACTCATCGTAGGTTGATAAGCTGCAGAAAACGAATCAATCAATCAGAACGAGTTCAGTTTCATACGAAAGGTGAACTGCTGTAGTCAGTTAATCTAGCGGACGATTGCTATTCCGTAGAGAGTTGGATCCTAACTGAATTTTTTACAATTATGGTTTTTTGCCAGATTAAAAGGTGTCTAGTAAATACCTCAGTGAAACACTGTATAGTATAAAAAAAAAATCAAATAAATGCGAAAAAGGAATATATTTAAAATAAGCAACTAGAAAAAATGAATATTATTTCAAAACAGAAAAGAAAAAAAAGAAAAGGTAAAAAAAAAAAGACTCAACAAAGAAAGTGAAAAAAAGGGAAAACGTAAAAATAATTCTTTTTCAGATGCTGGTTCGGGCAAAAAACACATGTCCGACAAGAAAAGAGTTAAAGAATATCAGATCAACCTAAGGTGAATAAATAAATAAAAAGGAAAAATAAAAGAGCAATAAACACATAAAAAATGACAAAAAAAGGCAAAGAATATTGAGGAGGGGAGTGCGAAAAGGTGCTATTTCGAAATATTTTTAAATAAGGTGTAGGTGGTGCAAAGCTTCGAAAGATTCGGAAGTAAAACGAAAACGAGGCCTTTCTCTGACGCCATATTGCTTTTGCTGTTTAGTCATCATGGCCTGCCTAAAGTATATGAGATGCAAAAGACGGCGCGGGTCGAATGGTCAAACTACCGGACCCTGTCCATTGTAAGGTCGATAAGCAAGTGTTTGTTTATCAGAACTGACAGGAGCCAGATCCGAAAGTGGCACACGGAGTTTCAGTTGCCACTACATTTGTTCTCCTGACGTATCGACAGCTGAGAGTTTGCTATTCCTCACGCCACCCACCTTTGACAAAAGTCCGGCGTTTGAATTAATGCAAGAACAGTTTGAAAGAAGAGAATGGTGGACAGTGGCGAAAGAAAGCCAGTGAAAAGTGTAGTAATAATTGAAACCTCTCCAGAATGTAGATTACGTATTAGGCGAAAGAATGAAAGCGAGACGTTGTCGATGGGGATGGAGTGACGAACGAGTGGACGCTGAAGAGAAGAGAAGTCAGACATAGGTGGGAGGCAAAGGAACAGATGGAAGAATTGGTGGGCAGATGGTTGGCCGGGATTGATTGAGAGAACCAGTGAATGGGCCAAAGAAATAGAGATTAGAATAAGAAGAAATGGCGATAAAGACAAACGTGAGAGTATATATATATATATATATATATATATATATATATATATATATATATATAGTTGTATTCATGTGAGTTTGTGATCCTGGGTTTCACACTCTTTGCGATAGTCAGGCTTATATATATATATATATATATATATATATGTATGTGTGTGTGTGTGTGTGTGTGTGTGTGTGTGTGTGTGTGTGTGTGTGTCCAATATATATGAATGATAAAATATAGTTTAAGGCATGGTATATTTATAGGGTAAAAGTGTACAATATTCAGGATAATGTGTGTAAATGTAAAAAAAATGTGGACGCTGACGTCATCACCGAATGTCAACAGTAAAGAAAAAACCAGCAATCTACTAGGAGTTTTCTTATTTAAAATCCAGCAGGTACCAATATATATATATATATATATATATATATATATATACATGTACAGAGAGAGAGAGAGAGAGAGAGAGAGAGAGAGAGAGAGAGAGAGAGAGAGAGAGACTGTCCTGGGTATGACGATAAATTACATCCGCGTCCTGGGTAAGATGCTAAACTATATCCAGCAGCAAGGCCTCTGATCAGGAGGTTTTGAGGAGCGTGGAACCACCTCGTAATTGCTGGTGTCCCCAGGCCCACCATCCCCCGGGGTGGTAGCATCTGTTAGGATCTCAGCTATGGGCAAATAGTTAACACCCAAACTTTTGTAAAAATAGGTTTTAATACCAGAACTACTTTGTTATAAAAAAAACTATTATCAGCAATAATTTTTGAAGGAAAAATTATTATCATCAATACTTAAAAAAAAAATACCAGTAATACAAACTGCTATACATTCTTTGGAAAAAAATTGGAGAATAGTGCGAACAAAATATTACCAAGAGAGTAATTAAAAAAAAAATACGGAAATAAAACCATCCAAGATTGTAAATTTCCTAAAAGAAGTTGAATTGTACTCAAAAATTTGAGTAATTGAAAAATAGTTCAAACATATATGTATACATACACACCTTCTTCAGGCAAATTAAAGGAATCAATTTTTAAAGGAATAAAACTTCCTTTTGTTCCTTTAATGTTTCATTGTTCATTTTCCGTGATCTCAATTTTTCGACTGTTGGCAAAAGTGAATTTCTGCCTAAGTGGTAATAAAATCATTAGTTTGTTCTTGGTGGTGGCGATGACAGATGTGTCGATGATAGATACCCCTATATATATATATATATATATATATATATATATATATATATATATATATATATATATATATATATAGTTTCAGATATAGGTATGGTATATTTATGTGTTAAAGTGCTCAATATCAGTATAGAGCGTATGTAAATATAAAAGTGCACATTGAAGTCAACACCCAGAAGTCACAGTTTGCTTCATGCTTAAACGCAATCGTCAAGCGATATGCGTTGTGTTTTTGTTCGACTATTTATATATACAGATCAGTGATGCATTGTAAGAAGTCTATTGTATTATTTTACTGGTTATTTTGTGTGCGATAACGGTTATATTTCGAATTATTCTAAGGGCTATTGAGTGGGAATAATTGTGGACTCAGATGCAGTTTTTTTGACTATTTATAGTGTTGTTTGTTAACTTTTGATTATTTATTGTTGGTTGGTTTTGTTACTTTTATTTGTGTTTATGTGTGCGTTTGGAGTTTATTAATTTGTTTATTATTTACTTAGTCATTTTTCTTTACTAATTTTTGTTCATTTAATTTTTTTAAAATTCATATATATATATATATATATATATATATATATATATATATATATATATATATATATATATATAAGTGGACATTGAGGTCAGCACCAACAGTCAGTTTCATGCTTAAACGCAATTTTTAGGCCTGAATATCCACATTTATATTTAAATACGCTCTATCGTTTATATTGAGCCCTTTAACCTATAAATATAGCATATTAAAAATATATATTTTATCATATATATATATATATATATATATATATATATATATATATATATATATAATAATGGACTCTCCTGTCGGTTTCGACGTATGAGGATCTGACAACTTGATTCAGTTATGAAAGTTTGTGCAATAATCTTAAGTATCCTTTAAGACCTTCTAATGATTGACAAAGGAGGCCACATATGGAGCAAGTGTGATGATTGTGAGATGAGATCACTGATAGATTGGATGACCTTTTAGATCTTGCTCTCACTTCTTGAATATATATATATATATATATATATATACTCTCCCGTCGGTTTCGGCGTATGAGGATCTGATAGCTTATTGATTCAGTTATGAAATTTTGTGCGATAATCTTAAGTGGCATTTAAGACCCGCTAGTGATTTACAAAGGAGGCCACATATGGAGCAAGCGTGAGGACTGTGAGATGGGATCGCTGTTAGATTGGCTGACCTTTTAGTTCTTGCTCTCGCTTCTTGAAGATGATTCAGACAAGCAGATTGGAAATTGCTGAGTCCACTAAAACACGTTGATCTCCATTCCATCCGCTCCAAGGCTATATATATATATATATATATATATATATATATATATATATATATATATATATATATATGTATATGATCAATTGTCAGGAAGGTTACTTCTTGATGTTCACAGTGTGGGGAGGCAATCGCAGCGTGAAGCACTTGTGGAAAATATTTGAAAACCTTACCACGGTTTGAGCAAAGTCTTGTGAGGGAAATTGTGTAGCCGGAACTGTTAGGAAGCTGTCGATAGTTTTGCGAGGACGAACACATCGTAATCAAAGATTTTGCGAGCTCTGGCCTTGTTCAAAATGCTGATCACGCCAGACTACGCCTCTCTCCTAGAAACTAAGATCCACTCAGCATAGTTGCAGTATAAACTAGAGATGGGCTCTGTGGGTTTTGAACAGACACCAAATGTGCCTGAACTTACATCTGCAACAGAGATTGACGAGACACTCTAACAGACAGGTATACTCCGATATTAGCGATAGCCCTAAAATATAATACTGGGCTGTTGGCGTTACACTTTCTAAGGTAAGATGAGATCATGCGCTTCTCGGCAAGGAAAATTGAACCATCAGACTGATTGGGCAAAGTTCAAAGGCTTAAACCCTACACTATCAAAACCAATTTCATTTCAAATTCACTGTACAATATTCGCGATGCTGATCACGGAAATATTGCTTTCATTAAATAATAAAATGTCGCAAGTTCGTTTCAAATATTTTGCACTTAGAAGGTTTGTTTTTCCTTTCTTGCCTTTTGTACCTGTATCTTTCGTGGGCTTTCTGTCTATAGGGAATTCGTCAAGAATCCTGCCAGATATCTATTCATATAAGAACTCACCCCATTTCTTTTTTTTTTGTTTCTTTTTTGTCATTTTTATTTTGTATTGACAGTCAAGATTATCCAGTGTTGGTTGGGAATAAATACATCCTTTGATTATTAATATTAATCCTTGTTGGTTGATCGTATTTTCACGATAATTATTTTGGCTAGAAAATAAAATGTCTTGGAAAATATTATAAGTAATCTTGATATATTCTTGTTGTTACTTTTAGAATTATTTTCCGAAAGTCAACATAAAGGTGTAACATATAGCAAACGCTTTTGTTAATATATAGCCAACATCAAATTTACGACTGATATATAAGGTGAACATGAAGTCTTTTATTTATTCCCCGAATATAGACGCCATTTTGATAGTACTGACTGCAGCGCCACCTTTATTGTAAAATATCTATTATTGAATCGACATCAATGATTTCGAAACTGGTCTATAGACGTCCGTCAGATAATGAATTCGAATCTGCAGGTGAAAATTTAAATTAATAATATGAATTTACAATTAGGATAATTGAGCTTGACAATAAAACTGACGCCATGCAGAACGGAAAATCCGTCATGAATCGGACACACGATGGCTGAAGATCCTCGACCAATCATTAGACGGAATGCTGAACATGACCTGAGATTTAACATGTCAAATATTGAAATTGACAGTCCAAATCTTATGGCAGAGAAAGACGCCATGTGTAACAGAAGTAAAGAAAAAAATGTTGTACACGTACTTCTGCCATAAATATTAAGATTTAAATAAATGTAAACCACTTAAGCTGATGTGTGCGAAGCGAGTAGAAAATTGTAATCGAACAATCGAGTTCAAATTCTGATACAGTCATTTACACTCACTTTTATACTAATGCTTTTGTGGAAGGCATGGGACCATCTTTTCCTGTCCCAGTTTTTCCGTGTCTGACATTCTGATCTTATCACACACACACACACACACACACACACACACACACACACACACACACACACACATATATATATATATGAGTGTGTGTAATTTTTATTTATTCAAAAATTATAACATAAACATGTTATAAAAGCTTTATAAAATAAATAAATAAAAATAAATATAAATAAATAAAAACAGAAATGTTTTGAATAAATATTTGCTCTTTATTGAGCACTCTTTTAAGAATAGTGTTTTTGGTTATTGGAATTTTATTCCGTCCACAACAATCCTATACTTGTATATATATATATATATATATATATATATATATATATATATATATATATATATATATATATTGAGGAATCGCAGAGCCGAGTTAGAATTCCAGTTACATCCATTACATTCACATACGTACTAATTCCCTTGGGGAAGGTATGAATCCTCTTTTCCTCGCCCCAGCTGCTGGTGTCTTGCTGTCGGTTCCTAGGAACTGAGCTGTTTCACACTCATACGTCGAATACGACGGGAGGGTCCACCATATATATATATATATATATATATATATATATATTTATAAATATATTTTTATGTTTAACATTTTTATTTTTATTTTATAGATACATAAAATGTTAAACATAAAAATGTCTTTAATAAATAAATTGTCGGACCTTGTCCATTTCTTAATATATATATATATATATATATATATATATATATATATATATATATATATATATATTTAAAAGAAAAAACAGACCACTTTAAGGTACCATTATAATAATTTATTTCACCAGAACCCTTTTAAAAGACGCCGGGTCATCAGATAACACTTCCAAAATGAAATGAAACGAAAAATGAAATCAAAATTGATGGGTACTGTAAGTTTTTGTAATTTAATAGAGAGTGTAAAAGGAGTAGTTAAAGAGACATGGTAGAGTATAGGGAGGGATTAATTTTCTATCTCTCTCAAGTATAATTTGTATTGGGGGAGGAGGAGTGACCAGACCTTGACCTATTTAGACGGTTAACTTAACGGAAGTGATGTATTGAAATTTGAGAGGAGTAGGGAGAAAAGAAAAAGGAAAAAGAAAGAAGAGGGAGAGGAAAGTAAAGAGAAAGAGGCTGTAATTGGGTTTTAGCAATTTAGGTAAAGAATAGATTTTAATGCTTGATAGTAATTTAGATGTCTAAAAAACAAACAAACAAAAAAAAAAATAAATTAATTTGATTTGATTACCCATACGGATTACCAAGTTCTTCATAACTTATATATATATATATATATATATATATATATATATATATATATATATATATATATATATGTGTGTGTGTGTATCTGTGTATTGAGCACTTTATCCCATAAATATATAGCACACCTTAAGACTATATTTCTTTATATATATATATATATGTGTGTGTGTGTGTGTGTGTGTCCTTCAAGATTATCCAGTGTTGGTTGGGAATTACATCCTTTGAATCAATATTAACCTTTGTTGGTTGATCGTATGATGCTACATGTTAGCAATGATGTAGTATTCTCGTTTCGACAAAAAAAAAAATCGCGGATAGATTGTTTTGTGGCTAAAATGGTTAAATATTCACTTTCACTGACAGGGATTGATGTTCGATTTTTTTTATTTAACATCATCCTTATGAAAGACGTCCCCTTTCTAGTCAATATATGGGGTTCGGCCATCTTGATTGACAAAATGTGTACGGATGACGCTATGGCAAACTAACCGTCAGAATACCTTGAAAACTAGGAAGGAAATATGGCCTTATTTGCGCAGAGAAGTAGGATGATTTTGTAAACATAGGTTAGATGTGTGATACGGTTTCGAACGTTTGGTGCACCCAGTGAGGATCGAACTCACTACTTAGTCGCCATGGTTCTAATGAGACAAGCTTGTTAACCATTGCATCACGTCGAGGTGCCCAAATTGTGTAGAGAAGTAACCCGCCCATTCATTAATGTCAGCCGAGAATGAGCGAGACATGTACTTGGAGAGCAATCGCCGTGATATCGCAATTGTGCACAAGATTAGCCGTGAATTGATGCTGATAGACTTTGTTGTACCTTGGGAAAAGTGCATCGTGCTGGCAGATCAGGCGAAAATACACAGGCACCAAGACTTGGCAGTTCATATCGGAGAATTTTTACCAAGCAACAGCTCAAATTGTCGCTTTTCTGGTTGATGCGCTCTAGGTTATTTCCTGTAATCTTTCTGCCTCGGGTTTCACTTCGGGGATACCTGAAATCATTAGGAGTGCGCAGGTGGACGCACTGGTTGGAACAATGTGTTGTGCCTCTCAGCTGAGGGAAGGAGCTAAGATATGATCATCATTACCCGGCCGAAACATCTAAGAGTTAGGTGAGGATATCAAATAATAATAATAATAATAATAATAATAATAATAATAATAATGGGACTACACAATACACACTGACAGAACAATCAAGGCCAACCGCCCAGACATTGTTATTAAAGACCACAAACAAAAAAGTACCTCCTTATTGATATGGCAGTCCCTGCTGACTGCAATGTATCTTTGAAGATATTCAAAAAGCTGTCAAAATACAAGGACCTTGAAATAGAAATCTCAAAAATGTGGCACATGGGAACATCAACAATCCCTGTTGTAGTTGGAGCCCTAGGACTAGTTGGAAAAGATTGCAGTAGACTAATTGAAGGGATTCCTGGAGGTTCATGTCTCAAAGAGATACAAAAAATTGTTCTGACAAGTACAGCCCACACTTTACGAAGGGCTTTATCTATGTAATTTTTTTTTTTTGTCAGTGGAAAGTGTCATGATGCCATTTCTAACCTTAGGTCCCTGGGCGGGACCCGGAAAGAAATGTGTAAACACCAGAAATCAAAGGAAATAAATAATAATAATAATAATAATAATAATAATAATAATAATAATAATGAGAAGACGATATGACAATAAATATTTACTAATTGCTAAGGTTAGTTTTGGCACAAGGCTACATTTCAGGAGTCCTCATTTACGATCAAAGTCGCTACTTCTAGGTAATCATTCGAGTGTCGGGGTTGTTAACCATTACACCACAACGAAACATTTTAAAATTATGTACAAAATAATCTTCACGTGAAGACCTTTAAAAATTAATCAAGAAACAATAGCAGGATTCATATTCAGATGGCTTGTAAGAGTTACGAAAGAAGAGTATTTTTTAAAATACTCCCTTTTTGTCTTCGTGAGGTTTAAACATTTTTCATTTTTCCCTTTTAAATATTTACTAATTGCTTAGGTTAGTTTTGGCAAAAGGCTACATTTCTGGAGTCCTCATTTAGGATCAAAGTCGCTACTTCTCGGTAATCATTCGAGTGTCGGGGTTGTTAACCGTTACACAACAACGAAACATTTTAAAATTATGTACAAAATAATCTTCAGGTGAGGACCTTTAAAAATTAATCAAGAAACAATAACAGGATTCGTATTCAGATGGTTTGTAACAGTTACGAACGAAGCGCATTTTTTTAAAATACACCCCTTTTGTCTTCGTGATTATTAAACATTTTTCATTTTTCTCTTTTCTGCCAGCTTTGTTAAGAGGTGGGGTTAAAGAGGAATATTAAAAAAGAAAGAAAGATAAATATGAGATGAGGTACCAGAAGATATTATCAGTAGGGGAAAATATAAACGGACTCTGCATAAAATATCCAAATATTGTTTTGCTGTAATTAATTGCTTCCGTATAGGTTTGAATTACAATAGACAAAAAGAAACATTGTTTTTACGAGATAAAATGCAAACAAACATTTCATGCACTAAGTGAAAGTTATTAAATACAGGTTCACATTCATGAATAAACAATTTCAAATTGTCAGTATTTTTGGAAAGCTCACAGGAATTATGAACAGAACATTTCTATAAGTTCAGTACGTAAATCATTTTACAGTTTAAAGTTTAACATTTCTATAAGTTCAGCACGTAAATCATTTTACAGTTTAAGGTTTAACATTCATATAATTTCAGCACGTAAATCTTTTTACAGTTTAAGGTTTAACATTTCTATAAGTTCAGCACGTAAATCATTTTACAGTTTAAGGTTTAACATTCATATAATTTCAGCACGAAAATCTTTTTACAGTTTAAGGTTTAACATTTCTATAAGTTCAGCACGTAAATCTTTTTACAGTTTAAGGTTTAGCATTTTAAGTTCAGCACGTAAATCATTTTACAGCTTAAGGTTTAACATTTCTATAAGTTCGGCACGTAAATCATTTTACAGTTTAAGGTTTAACATTCATATAATTTCAGCACGTAAATCTTTTTACAGTTTAAGGTTTAACATTCATATAATTTCAGCACGTAAATCTTTTTACAGTTTAAGGTTTAACATTTCTATAATTTCAGCACGTAAATCATTTTACAGTTTAAGGTTTAACATTTCTATAAGTTCAGCACGTAAATCTTTTTACAGTTTAAGGTTTAACATTCATATAATTTCAGCACGTAAATCATTTTACAGTTTAAGGTTTAACATTTCTATAAGTTCAGCACGTAAATCATTTTACAGTTTAAGGTTTAACATTTCTATAATTTCAGCACGAAAATCTTTTTACAGTTTAAGGTTTAACATTTCTATAAGTTCAGCACGTAAATCTTTTTACAGTTTAAGGTTTAACATTCATATAATTTCAGCACGTAAATCTTTTTACAGTTTAAGGTTTAGCATTTCTATAAGTTCAGCACGTAAATCATTTTAAAGTTTAAGGTTTAACATTCATATAATTTCAGCACGTAAATCATTTTACAGTTTAATGTTATGTTATATGACGGCGTTGCGAATAAGCTGATACTTACGGCCATGTCACGTTTAAACACCGGTTCTCATCCGTTCACGGATGTTAAGCAACGGTGAGCTAGGTCAGTAACTAAATGAGTTACCGCTCGGGAGTACCAGGTGCTGTATGACTTGAAGTGCGAAAACACTTCGTCGATAATGGATCAAAAAGGTGTTTGTTTACTCAGTCCCCCGACCAATACGCGCTGGGCCGGCGTGATAGTATAATGGGCCATTCTTCCTCGTGAATCTTGAAAAGGACGACGATCAACAAGGGACATTTAACAGAAGAAGATAAACTGCCGCTAACAGAGTCGACTCTTCCCAGGGCAACTCCTAAAATTATATGTAGAGCAGGAAAAATTGGCCCTGAATGAAAAGTGCATGTGGTGATGCCGCAGATGGAAAGCAAGGCAAACACGATCTAGTTTAGATGGCCGCTTGGGAATACCAGGTGCTGTAAGCTTGGATGTGCGCGTTGTGTAATGGGTAACTCGGAATGAGAAATCGGATAGCCGAGTTCGAATTCTGTTATAAAGGAATAAAGTGTCACTGCCGACACGTGAGTTTGAACATAGATCGCCAGTGAGCAAACGCAGGCGATCCCATTATTGAATTAAGCAGAGCACGTGACCAAAGAGGAAACGCATATATGTAGGAAGACGACTAACTATCGTTATTTCTATTCTATCCACTATCACGATACAGATCTGCATTTCTAGTCTATCCTCTATTAATATATGGACCACTATTCTCTACTCTATTTACTATACTATTCTTCTATTCGGATCACCATACGGATTACTTTTCGAGTGAGTATTATCGAGAAAAGACTATTAGTGCGAGTGATATTCGAAGGCGTCTGACACCAGTATTGTTCAACGGCGTTACTATAGTTGCAACTGCGGTTACAAAGTCTCTACTACAACGAGAATTACGAAAGTAAGAACGGGTATTCGTTGGCATTGCAAAAGTGGCAACGAGTGTTCGTTGACATTACGAAAAGATTCCAGTCGAGTTTATTACATGAACATTTGAGCAAATACCTTTGAGAAAGCTCCGAATTCATATATATTTCCCCCAGCTATGGGTAAATAGCAGGGTAGACTGGGCCCTAGGACCTTGGTTAGCAACTATTCTAGGAGAAGGAAATCTCGGAATTCAAACCCGTCTAAAGAGAGATGCCAAAGGGCAGATGAACTTCTTATAGGCGCCAATTGCCAACCTGCAGCTACGAGGTGCACTCTGCAGCAGTACAGGACATGGTGCTCTGATAGAAAGATTCTGAATTGCAAGACATGGGCATTTGACCACTTCAAGCAATGCACTTGTGCAGGTTGTATAATAAATTTTAAAATTTATTAAACCCTCAATCGTCATTCTCGACAGCAGAATCGCTCAAGGCTACATCGGGTTGAAACACCGGCTCCCTTACTATCGCTGAAGTTAAGCAACATCGAATCTGGTTATTATCTGGATGGGTGACCGATTGGGAATACTATGTGCTGTAAGCTCGGATGTGTGGGTGGGGTAATGGATAATGGCTCGGAATTGTTAATCGGAGAGCCGAGTTCCGATTCCCGTTGGGTGAGCTATATTCGGTATTTAGCCCCCCCCACGAGGGTTGCATGTGGCACAAGGCCGAGTTTAACGTGGGTTTCCCGAGCCCGTAGGCTCGGCCAAAAATATAGCCTTTGAATCCGCCTAGACGGGTTCAGGGTCTGTCTACCTCCTCGGACGAAACCTTGACCTTCGGCAAAGCTTCGTCCGGGTTCCTCTCTGCCAAAGTAGACAGTTCGACAGACATGGTGCTGGTTACACCATTCATTCATGGGTGAGCTAAAATAAACTTGGGAAAAGTATGAATACACCTCTTCTCCCCACCCTAGCCATGGTTTAATGAGTAAGGTGCCGGGTTTTGTATGACTTGAGGTACGAAAACCCTTGGTCGATAATGAATCAAAAAGGGACAAGATTATTATTTCAAGAAAAATTTCTTACTATCTATAAATATTTTCTGGCTTCAAGTAACCAGAAAAGGGTTGATAAGCCGTAAAAAACGAATCAGAAATAGGAAATTACGTCATTTTAATATTTAATTACTAAATTAATTTGTTTACATCTTTTGTTCGAAAATATTAGTATATACAGACAGCTGACAATCACAACGAAAGATGAATATTATTTAAAAAGTATTCAAGGTTTGCCTTGTTAAAAGGGGCCACGTACACCTGACCAAAATAGGGTTTTTCACATAAAGGGAACAAAAGTTCGATCCATGTCGAAAATATACATTTTCTTTAATAAGAGTTTCGAGTGTCTAGATGCTAATTTCACTGTTAAAATAAACCAGAGATGTTTTAGTCTTCTCAAAGGCGTCAACCACGAAAGTAATGTTTATCTTAATATATCATTATTTCTATGAGAGATATTTAGATACCTCCGATCATTGACCTGTCTCCCGACTATACCTACTTAGCATCTGATCTTATCTCGCAACATTTACGGATCAAGTTGAGGTTGATACGTTTGTTCTGATTGTGTTCAGTTTTCCGATACAGTTTAAGAATAGCGCAGTCCACGTTCATTATGTGGAACTCATTAGCAGACACACAGAGCTTTACACGTTTTCCTGGAATGGTTACAGCATGCAAACGCATACAGATTTGTAAGATCAACATTGATAGATATTTATAAAACGTTAATAGAAAACTTATTAATTCTGAATTGTCTTTCATTCACTCAAACAGGAAGTGGTAATCATTATCATCGATAGACAGGAACACACTATTTCCTGTCTCCATTAGAAAAAAAAACTCTCGTACATAACACTATCATTCTAAAAAAAAGTAATTGTAAAAGACATCTTAAGGTAATCAAAGCTCTTTATATAAATCAGTTTAAACCAAGTTTCGAACTTACTCTATTTGACAACGGTTGTATCGTGTTGGATATCTTTTAAAGACACCCGTGACATTGATTCACAATCGCAGTTCAGCACGGAAAGGCATCTGCTCGCACATAATATAACTTAGCATATAATGACAGGAACAAAGGGGAGCCCCCTACTTCCGGCCTTGTGCTACATCTAAGCTACGCTTGGAAAATCATTGTAATCACAGGAACACAAAGTAAGAACGAACCCCTAGAAAGTGGGTAATGGATTTACCGAATGCGCTTGGAACAATAGTCACTACGGACAGTTACTATACTCTCATCGCCATCACCTCCAAGAAAAACTGTAAAAACCTTAAAAACATTTAATAAAAATTCATAATTTCCTTTTTGTCACATTCAATGAAACGTTATATATATATATATATATATATATATATATAATATATATATATATAGTCGACTCTCCCATCAGATCAGTTTCCAGGAAACCGACAGCCCGACAACAGCACATGAGATTTGATTATAGTGGTGAAGGCCTCGTGCAGTACCATCCACACTTTTTGAAGGGACGAATACAGAGATCTGGTGCACTACGTGCCACAAGGTCCACAAACAACCCTCCGCAGGTTTTGAATTCAGAGTTGTCCTTCTCCCTGACCAGTTGCCATCCAAGGCTATAGAACCCAGTCTGTCCTGCTATTTTACCCATAGCTGGAGAGAGAGGAAGAGGATTCATACCTTTCCCAAGGGTATTAGCACCTAAGTGAATGTAATGTATTCGACAGGAAATCGAACTCGGCTCTGCGATTCCTCAATCCAAGCCGCTATCCATTACTCCACCGTGCCTATATATACACTTAGGTAGGCAGCATATTTTCATTCAAGCATATTTGGTTGAATAATTTACACGTATTATGTCTAGTTATTTTACTTTTAATCCTTTCAAGTCCAAGAATTAATTTCTCGGTTGCTGTAGAAAATTGATCCCAAAAAATTTTCTTTCAAATAATAATTTTTATTTTCCTAAGTCCTTTCAATCTGACTTGAGACCATTTTCAGGGATTGCATATCTATGAACGCGTTATGCGTTGACTCCATAAATTCAAAATATTTTTTCGCCGTTTTACAAGGGAGGTAACTTATGTTATATTCATTGCTTAGTGAGTTCATTGTTCTACCTACCTAAATACCTACCTACTTACCTACTTTGATTGTGAACTCCATAACCCTTTTTATAGTTGTATAGTATGTGCTTAGGCAGGGTTATATACAGTTTTGAATTCAGAGTTGTATTTCTCCTAGACTAGTTCCCTACCATGGCGAGAGAGCAAAATGTTCTCTTTCATTTGATCCATAGCTAGAGGATCCAGAAGATATGGATTTATACTTTTATTTGTCCGAAAGTGAATGTAATGAAATCGACTGAGATTTGAACTCAACTCGGAGATCTCTCTTTTCGAGCAGCTAATCATTATAACACCTGTATATCAGTCAGTAATTTTAGTTCCGTTTTGGAACAATAGCATGTGATAACCAGTGATGTTCGACTCCATTACTCTGTCGTTAAGAGCTGAGAGGCCAACTTGTTAACTAAGACATCATGATACAGCTTCCCCGTGATTTTGTTTCGACATCTCTTTTCATTCCATTTTTCCTCCGTTTTTTTTTTTCCCCTGAAATATCTGAACTTTGGTCTTTGAGAGTCTTTTCTTTTCGCCCAGCCGATATCATATGTTGATGCTAAACAACGTATAAAACTCAACACTTTTGCTTTTGCTTAAGAAGACAACAAAGGGATAAATTATTCAATAGGACTCTGATTATTTTGCGTTTTACTTTTCTTTTTCTCCTTTTTTTCAAATTCTTTATTTCCGATTAGAATAGAAGCATCCAATTCGATCTTTCTTTTATTTTGGCCTGGTTTCTTTTTGTTCTCCTCTTTTACTGACAATATTTGCTCGACAAAGTATAAAAATAGAAAATAATAAGCATTAAATATTTACTTTTAATCATCGCAAAATTCCAACAGCAGCCAAATCTTGCTTCGCCATCTTGAACGTGCGGAGCTGGCATAATGTTTATTGCGCCCGGATGATAGACTCAGCGGACCAAGTTCGAATTTCAGCTGGCATTGCTTGTGTTCACTCCTGCCTGTCCGCTGTAGAGGAGTAATCCTACTTGACGTTCTAATGTTTTTTCTTTAATCAGAGGTACCAACCATCAACTAATAATGATAATAGTAATATTAAACATTTCCTTATGAGGAAACATTTCCTTATAAGGAAACTTTTCCTTATAAGAAAACATTTCCTTATAAGGAACATTCGGCATTCATTGAACGATCATCCAGTGCTACTTTCAGCTGAACTTTATAAAATATTTTAATTAAAACAATTTTTTTTAGGAGAATAGTTTTCTCAAGTCCTGTAACTTTTATCACGCTTTCCAGTATTGATGGGGGTCTTCATTCCTTGTCTTCAGCATCTTAATTATGTCCTTATTTTCTCTTCGTGTTACATGAACTATCCATTTTAGTTGTTGCTGATATTGGAAGTCTTGGAAGATGTGTTTTCTGTTATCCGGTGCGGTTTGTGGCTCTGCAATGCCAGTTCTCGACGATTAAAGGAAAAAAAAACAGATAAAGACGAAGGCAGAGAGTTCGACAGCACTGCTGGAACAGATTCCAGCAAGTCAATATTTACCAGTCTCCCCCACCAGTGGGTAGATGTGGCACAAGGCCGAGTTTAACGTGGGTAACCCGAACTCGTAGCCTCGGCCAAAAATTCCCCGTAGAACCTGCATAAACGGGTTCGGGTCTGTTTACCGCCACGGACGAGACTCTGACCTTCAGCACTTCCTCGTCCGGGTTCCTCTCTGCCCGAACGTAGAGAGTTTAACAGCACAACTGGAACAAATTCCAGCTAGTCAATATTTACTAACCCCCCTACCACCAGGGTAGATGTGGCAAAAGGCTGAGTTTAACGTTGGACATTCGAGCCCGTAGGCTCGGCCAAAAATTCCCCGTAGAACCCGCAGAAACGGGTTCGGTTCTGTCCACCTCCTCGGACGAGAATTTGCCCTTCGGAAGAGATTCCAGCTAGTCGGTATTTTCCTGACTCTCCACAAGGAAGGATGTGGCACAAGGCCGAGATTAATGTTGGGCAATCCTAGTCCGTAGACTCGGCCCCAAATTATTGAAGTCCCTGAGACCTACAGGCTTCACTAGCTCGGTCATTTTTAACTGTCGATCTGAGAAAGCAGTCGTGTACAGCTGACAGCTTAGATATTCCTGAACGAGTTTGGTGCTATGCATTACACATGAAAGTCTAGATCTGGCGAGATTATTTAAGAACGTGTCTTTAATCTTTAGGTTATTGTTTTGGTCTTGTCGCCATGTTTGACTGTATCGCCAACATGGCGACATAGTCAAAAAAAAGATGATTTTAAATGAGACAAGGTGGGAGAATATGATATATAAATTCTATATGTCAGAATAAAAATACAAAATAGAATGACAAAATCCTATGTAACACGTTTCAACCTCCAAAAGGACTGCTTCAGACTAAAAACGTTGTCGCGGTGTCTAACTATTTAATTCCTGGTGGCCTATGTCT